TATATAATATATATAATATATATAATATATATAATATATATAATATATATAATATATATAATATAATATCTGATTGATTTGTATATTATGCAGACGAGCTGATGGGTTTTCAACAAGAGACAGAAGAAGTGAAGGAGACAGCTGGAAAGTTAAAAGCACAGAGCAGAGAAAAGGAGACAGACAAAAATAAACAGCCGCCTGTTGCACACCTCACAGGCAGAAGTAAGTCTTTGTTCGTTTGTTTGTTTGTTTGTTCGTTTGCTTGTTTGTTTGTTTTGTTTGTTTGTTTGTTTGTTTGTTTGTTTGTTTGTTTGTTTGTTCGTCTCCTTTTGTTTATTTGTTTGTCTCCTTTATGTCTCTTCTTTCAGTCTTTCTTTGTTTATCTCTGTTTGTCTGTCTCCTTTTGCTTTCTTTGCTTATCTCTGTTTGTCTGTCTCCTTTTGTTTTTATATTTGTTTGTTTGTTTGTTTGTTTGTTTGTTTGTCTGTCTGTCTGTCTTTGTTTATCTTCTTTTTGAGTCTTTCTTTGTTTATCTCTGTTTGCCTGTCTCCTTTTGTCTGTCTGTCTCTGTTTCTCTTTCCTATTGTTTATTTGCTGCTTGTCTTTGTCGTCTTGTGTATTTATAATTCTAATATAATTATAATAATATCATATAATAATAATAATAATAATAATAAACAAACAAACAAATGGATAATAATATTAAAATATAATATTATTTATTATTTATTTATTTATTTTTTTATGTCTGCTTTTATTTCTTTTTGCACCTCCTTCATTTACTTGTTTATTTTTATATATATACACACAACAAATAATAATAATAGATAATAATAATAAAAATAATTAATTAATTAATTAATTAATTTGTTTGTGCTGTTTACTTAGCCCCTCCTTCATCTCACATAGGAACGACATTTGAGTTTGCTGCCGATCCCGAGTCGATCCCAAGCGATCCCGTGGTGGAGTTTATTGATGTCTTACTGGGTAGAGGTGCTGCTGCTTCACAGCAAACAGCAGCAGCAGCAACAACAACAACAGCAGCAGCAGCAGCAGGAGCACCAGCAGCAGGAGCAGCAGGGCAAGCAACAGGGCAAGCAGCACCAGCAGGAAGGAAAGAGACAGCAGCAGCGAGCCAAAGACCAGCAGCAGGAACAGCAGCACAAGCAGCAGCAGCAGCAGCTAACCGGAGACCAGGAGCACCAGCAGCAGCAGCAGCAGCAGCAGCAGCAGCAGCAGGTATTCAGCAGCAAGATACAGAGCCTAGTCTCTTCTCCCTCCCACTAACCCCTACTGAAGGCCCTAAGATAAAGGCCCTCGGCCTCACTGAGGGTTTGCTGCCAGCAGAAGAGTTGATTACGCAGCACTGGAGCAAAAGCAGCAGCAGCAGCAGCAGCAGCAGCAATGCTGCTGCAGACACTCATCATCATGCAAGACAAGGGCTGCAGCAGATCGCTCCCGCCCCACTTGCATCTCTCTGGAAGCAAATCGACATGTTCACAGGGGCTGCGAGGGTTTAGGGTTTAGGGTTTAGGGTTTAGGGTTTACTACGGGAGTGAGGGGTATCTGTGCAGGTGAGACAGGTAAGCAGCAGGTGCTGCTGCTGCAGCAGCTCCCTATACACCTCAACCCGTACAAAGCAACAGCAGGTCCAGCGCCTTGCGGGGCTCAGCCAGGAGACGCATTTGAATGCACACACTCTGCTTCTTTCTGTCTCTCTTTAGCAGCAGGAAGGGGTTTTCTAGCAGCAGCAGCTGCTGCTGCTGCAGCTGCTGCAGCTGCTGCTGCAGCAGCAGCTGACGACGAGTAGGAGCAGCAAATCAGGTGAAGGGAATGCAGCAAATTATTGTAAGCCATTGGCTTATTAAATGTCCCTAAGGTGATATTAATCTGAGGTGTATATACACCTCAGTAGCAGTGTCGAGGTGTATATACACCTCAGCAGCGGTGTTGAGGTGTGGGGTGTATCTGCATGTACACCCCAACGAGGCCTCTGTGGGGCTTCGCAGCCCCACAGGGCGCGCAGTACTCTACGCTGCATGCAGATGCATGCAGGCCTTTGCAAGCATGCCTCTACATACATGCAGCTGCATGCAAGCCTCTGCATGCATGCATCAGATGGCTGCTGCATGCAGGCTTCTGCATGCATCGGCCTCTGCATGCATTTATATGCATGCATCGGCCTCTGCATGCACGGAGGTGGATAGAGCTGCATGCATGCATGCAATTGCCTCTGTGTAAGACGAAGTTTTGATGCCTGCGCATGCACTTGTGCATGCATGCAAAGAACATTAGTTGACGTCCTAGGATAGGGGGGAGTTGGGGCTTTGAAGACAGAGACGAAGGAGACAGTCTCTTCTCTAGCCCTGCCCCCAGCGTCTCCTCTACTACTCACCTAGCTAGCTAGCTAGCTAGCCACCCACTCAGCTAGCGGGATACTCACGTAGCTAGCTAGCTAGCTACCCACTTAGTCAGCTCAACAGATAGCTGTACAAATGGACATATAGCTAGCTAGCTAGCTTTGCAGCTAGCTAGCTAGCGAGCTAGCCACCCAGTGAGGTAGCCAGCTAGCTGTCTACTACTCAGTTAGCTAGCTAGCTGCGTCCGCTTCGCAGGCATAGGCAGCTAGCCAGGCGACTAGCTGTAGACTGATGGGTAGCTAGCCAGCTGCTTAGAGACGCAGCAAGGGTTGCTACCCTACCCTCGCGGGCCCCACATATCAACTGTCCCCATGAGGGAGACGATCCCAGAAGAGACGATCCCGTCGGAGACAGCCCCCTGTGGGGTGCTATGTAGCTATGCAGCTACCCGCTCGCTGACTTGGAAAGGCAGATACCCAGTAAGCCAGACCGACAGCTAGCTAGCTAGACGGCTAGCTATCCAGACGGCCAGCTAGCTAGCTAGGGAGGTAGCTAGTCGGCCAGCTAGCTAGCTAGCTACGCAGATACTTAGCTAGCCAGCAGGTGTACGAACACAGGGGTGCGGGGACAGCGAATTGTAGCCGCTTACAAAGATGCGATACGGAGAGACAATGAGGGATCGTCTCCCGTGGGATCGTGTCTCCTGGGATCGCCTCCCTTGGGATCGTCTCCCATGGGATCGCATTCCCCGCTCGTGTCCCCCCCACAAGAGGAGACAAAGAGGGAGAAGACGACGAAGGGAGATGCACAGAGAGCCAGAAGGAGACAGAGATAGACAGAAGGAGACAGAAGGAGACAGATATAGACAGGAGGAGACAGAGATAGACAGTAGGAGACAGAGATAGAAGGAGACAGAGACAGACAGGAGGAGACAGAGATAGACAGGAGGAGACAGAAGGAGACAGAGATAGACAGAAGGAGACAGAAGGAGACAGGGATAGACAGGAGGAGACAGGAGGAGACGGACAGACAGACAGACGGAGAGAGAGATCAAAATAAACAAAAGCAGATTAAAATAAACAAACAAGACAGCGAAAAGAGACAGAAGAAAGGCGACAAAAACGAAGGAAGTGACACAGAAAAGGAGACGAAGATAAAGAGAGAAAGTAAAAGAAATAAACAGAGACAGCGAAGACGAGACAAAGAGGGACAAAAAGAAACGAAAGGAGACAGATAAAAGGGGACAGAAATAAACAAAGGAGACAGATAAAAGGAGACAGAAATAAACAAAGGAGACAGACAAAAGGAGACAGAGAAGAGACGAAGGAGAGAAAATACATAAAAATAAACAACAGAGACAGAGAAGAGACGAAGGAGACAGACAAAAGGAGACAGAGAAGAGACGAAGGAGACAGACAAAAGGAGACAGAGATAAACAAAGGAGACAGATAAAAGAAAACAGAGAAGAGACGAAGGAGACAGACAAAAGGAGACAGAGAAGAGACGAAGGAGACAGATAAAAGAAGACAGAGATAAACAAAGGAGACAGATAAAAGGAGACAGAAAGAGACAACATGCAGCGCGTCCGATCCCTTCCTAAATATTGTCTAAAAAGAATTTGTTATCCGACCCCACATTTATTTATTTAATGTTGTTTATTTATTTTATTTTATTTTATTTTACTTCGTGATTTAATTTATATTTTTACTTATTTTATTTTGTTATTTATTTACAAGTCTGTTTTACTATGCGTCGGACTCTACACTCCCAGCGGCCGTTCTTAGGTCATTGCTGCTGCTGCTATTGGCACTGTTGCTGCTGCTGCTGCTGTTGCTGCAGCAGCAGCAGCAGCAGCAGAAGCAGCAGCAGCAGCAGCAGCAGCAGCAGCAGAAGCAGCAGCAACGGAACACGCATCGAAGTTCATATATGTGTTTCCATACGTTAAGGCCAAAGACACTATAAACGCAGCAGCAAACAGAGCGCTTGCTGCACCCTGCTGCTGCTGCTGCGGATGTTGCTGTTGCTGCTGCTGCTGATTTTGCTGCTTTTGGCGCAACTGCTGGTGCTATTGCTGCTCCTGCTGCTGCTGTTGCTGCTGCTGCTCCAGCAGCAGCAAACTGCTGTTAGTATGGCTGCGTCTGGCCTGAAACGCGCTGCGGCAGCTGCTGCTGCTGCAGTTGCTGTTGCTGCAGTTGCTGCTGCTGCAGTGTGTGCTGCTGCAGCTGCTGCAGCTGCTGCAGTTGCTGCTGCCTCGCCAGGTACATGGAGATGATAGAACGAGACACACTGCAGCAGCAGCAGCAGCAGCAGCGGCAGCTGCGGGATCAGGAAGCCGCAGCAGGCGTTGATTACAACCAC